ACTGAAAGTTGTTAGGAGTCCCCTGCCTCATATAGAGAAAATGTGGAAGCAAAGAAATGCTGGACTACAGCTGAAAGCCTAATTGGCTCTTTGAGATTGGTTGCCTTAGTGTTTTGATTTTGTAACTTTGAAGCATTTACAGGCTTACATCTGGTTTGCTTACCATGACAGTAGAGTCACCTCAGTGTAATGGGCTCGTTTAATTAATTTAACAGGTGGTAATCACATCGTAATATATAAATATATCAAATCAACATATTGTACATCTTAAACTTACATGATGTTATATGTTAATTATATCAAGGAAAAAAAATTTTTTAACATGTCAAAACAAGTCACCTGGCCTACCAGATATTAAAACCATTTAAAATAAATAATAGGAGTGCCTGGGTGGCTCAGTCGGTTAAGTGCCAGACTTTGGCTCAGGTCATGATCTCACGGTTTGTGGGTTCGGGCCCCAGGCTCTGTGCTGACAGCTCAGAGCCTGGAGCCTGCTTTGGTTTCTGTGTCTCCCTGTGTCTCTGCCACTCCCCTGCTCATGCTCTGTCTTTCTCTCTCTCTCTCAAAAATAAATAAACATTAAAAAAAACTTAATCAATAATAATGAACTGAGGCATTAGTACAAAAATATATGCCTTGTTCCTTGGAACAGGACAAGTAGTTTAAAATTTTACAAACTAAATGAGAGACAACAAAGCAATGTGGAAAATGAGGATTAAGAAGCCACATAGATAATTTGGCTTAACCGAAAATTTAAAATTTAGAAAAAATAATGTTGATTGAAAAATACACCAAATAAAATAATAGAAGCTTTAAATATATAAATTTAAACGGAAAAACTCAGAAATAAGTTGGTTATGTATCAGATATCTAAAAGAGGAGATAAATGTATAAGTTTAGAAACAACACAGAAGACATCAAAAAGATGTAGAACCATGTATTTTGTTAAGTACAAGTGTTCAATTGTGGTATGTCAATAAAGTAAAAACAATATACTCATTTTGACAGCTCTTTTTAGAAAAACACCTAGAAAAGTACACACTTTCATATACTTGTTCATATCATATATTATATTGATTACATCTTGATTCTAATTAAGATCCCACTTTAAATTGCCAGCCTAAAACAAACTAAAAATCACCCAATATAAAGTACAAACAACAAATAAGCTGTAGAACAATGTGAAATCTAGGTACTATCAAAGAAATGTAAAATAAAGAGCTATTGCTTTTACTAATAAATTACCAAAGTAGTAAATGATAACCAGTTAGTTGATACTTGGAATTTTATGCTAACAAACTAAATCAAAATAATAAAAAAAAACTATGTGAAAAAAAGATAGTCCTCACTCCATTATCTATAATAATAAAAATTGTTAATTTCATTTTTTTTTTTTAATTTTTTATTTATTTCTAGCAGAGAGAGAGAGACAGCGTGAGCAGGGGAGGGTCAGAGAGAGAGGGAGTCACAGACTGAAACAGGCTCCAGGCTCTGAGCTGGCAGTCAGCACAGAGCCCGACGCGGGGCTCGAACCCACGAACCGCGAGATCATGACCTAAGCGAAAGTCGGACGCTTAACCGACTAAGCCACCCAGGCGCCCCTAAAAATTGTTAATTTCAAAATAATTGAACAGTCGGTAGAATAATATGCAGCCATTAACAATAAAGTTTATGAAGAATATGCAGCAGAATGAAAAAGACTACGTCATAATACAAAGTAAAAAACCCTATGTTCATTTGCCATGACTACAAGAATATAAAAAACTATAAATGACTAGAAGAGGTTATATAAAGATGTTGTTAAGTCATGGTGACAAAATTATGGATGATATTTCTATTTCCAATTGTTTTTAAGTAATGTTGTATACATTTTGGTAATACCATGCAATTTCTCCTTTATGTTTGCTTTAGAGATGGTCTGAGTAGGTGAAAAACATTAAATTTCTTCTCTGCATTCCATAACATCTATAAATTTTGTAATATTGTAGAAAACTATAATGACTTTAAGGATAAATAGCATAGGTGCACCTGGGTGGTTCAGTTGGTTAAGCATCTGACTTTGACTGAGGTCATGATCTCATAGTCAGTGAGTCCAGCCCCTCATCGGGTTCCATGTTGGCAGTGTGAATCCTGCTTGGATTTCTCGCTCTCTTCTCTCTCTCTGCCCCTTCCCTGCTTCTCCCTGTGGCTTCTCTCTCTCTCTCTCTTTCTCTCAAAATAAAATAAACTTAAATTTTAAAAAAGGACAAATGGCATATTTGTCCTACTTAAATCAGAGAACTGGAATATTGATTATGAAATAATTTCAAAGACACCATATCTCTAGCTGCATCCATACATCTTTGAAAGATGATTTGACCTTTAAGAAAGAACATGACCTCTAAGAGTTAATCAGATTTTCTAGAATTGATACCTTTTCTAGAAAAGAAACCTAGAAAGTTTCCTTCCTAGTGAAACCTTATGATCGCAAGAAAGAAAGCTTAACACAGTCCACAGTTATACAAGTCTTACTTCAAAATATCTTCCGGTAGCTGCTACCATAAAAGATGTGCCATGTTTATTTCTTGATGGATAGTCTTCAAAATACTGCTCTTCTGCGTTTTATTATCACTTTACCAAAATTCAAAGGCTGTATGAGTAGAAGGCTATATGAATCTAATCATATTCTAATTTTCATGCACAACATGCAGCTGTATAAACCATAGGGAATCTCACTGAAATGTCCTCTAACAGTTTTAATGCAGAGGGCGAAACATAAACGTTTTGTTACCAAAGCATAAATAGACACCACGACAGGGAATGATGCACAGTCAATCCATAGACTTATTCAACATGGGCTCCTCCAATGGAGGCAGGGAAACCTTCAATATAAAAACAGCTTAGAACCACATGCTTATAAGAAACAGTTCAACAGGTATCCAGCTGTAACTTCCTGTTTTACATGGAGCCTGCATTTCTTGGCTTGGATGAAGTATAATATAAATCTCTTTGACTCAGTCCCCCTAGATCTAATGAAGCAAAGGAGTGGGTGTAATACAGAGGGAATGTGCGTTTAGACTCTATAGGAGTTGTTCCACTTTGTTATAGAAAACAAAGCTTATGATAGATAGCCCAGCCTCCAAGTGTTTAATTAAAGCAGCCTTGGGGCATCTGGGTGGCTCAGTCCATTAACCATCTGACTTCAGCTCAGGTCATGATCTCATGGTTTATGGGTTCGAGCCCTGCATCAGGCTCTGTGCTGACAGCTCTGAGCCTGGAGCCTGCTTCAGATTCTGTGTCTCCGTTTCTCTCTGCTCCTTCCCTGCTCATGCTCTGTCTGTTTCTCTCTCTCTCCAAAATAAATAATAAACATTAAAATTTTTTTAAAAAAACAGCAGCCTTAGAGAGGCTGTCTACAGCTGTGTCCTCTGCCATGAGCCCTTGGCCTGTAGAGCCCACTAGAGACTTGCAAAGCCTTTGCTCAGTAGAGCAGCCCTCAGAGGACATTGCACCCAGTTCTGTGTCTCCATTTTCCTCTTTTTTCGGGTGACTCAATTCTGTGTCTTCGCATCCCTGAGTACAGGCAGATCAGTAAATGGTTCAAGTCGTCAAGCTCTTGGTAAAGCGAGCTAAGTTAAACATTGTTAGTGTTGCATATAGGGTAAAGCCCTATGTTTATGCATGCATATTGATCAGAACACTGCAGTAATCTTATTGGTAAGAGCACAATTTAGAAGACATTTATTTTTTTAAGATTTTATTTTTAAGTAATCTCTGTACCCAACATGGGGCTCAAACCCACAATCTGAAGATCAAGAGTTGCATGCTCTACCACATAAGCCAGGCAGGTGTCCCTAGAAGATATTTTAGAAATAAGTTTATTGAAATGTTGCTTGCTCTTTTCTGCCATTCTAATGTTTAAAAGGCTTGCCCGTTTTTTGACATTATTATGACAGTAGTCCTGTGATTTAGACTACATTCATAGTAAGAAGTTAAGCCATGTCAATTTGGAATTAGAATAGATCATGATGATAATTCACCTATTGCCAAATCAGAGGGTTGCTCAGAATGACTGGTTCTCAAAGACATGGAGCACCCAAGGGTGCTTCTCTTCTAACCCTCGACATGGGATTGGCAACACTACCAAATAGACATCGATACAGAGTCATAATAAAGTGTATTAAATGTGATTTGAAGCACACTGACATTTATTAACAATAAAAAATAATTTAAGAACATTTTTCAAATAATACTTAGAAAACTAAATTCTTCATTTCCATTCACAAACGTGCTTGCCTACCCTCACTTTTCTTATTCCTATAATAGTTCCATGACTGTCTGAGTTGCAGGAGCCCAGTAAAGGGTGCCCAATACCTGCACACCTTCCTTCACTCTCCATCTCTTTTTCCACCTACTCAGTCATCACGTAAGCACCCAGCTGTTCGGGGTCTCTTCTGATTTTTCCGTTCAATGCCACGAGTCCCGTATAATCCTTCACATAGGCTATTATATCATGTCTCCTTTCCTTCTGTCCACTTCAATCTATACAGCTGAGACAATCACCTTCCCAAAGCATATTTACTAGCATATTAAAAAAAATATCTGGTAAGTGCACATCACAGACTCCTTATGTGATATTCAAAGCCCTCCATGATGATGATACAATCAGATTCCTCAACACTTTTTCCCATTTCCACACTCCATGTACTTTTTGCTTTCAATAAAAGTGCTCTCCTACTTCTGTGCTTTGGCTCAACTGTGAATTAGCCCCTACTCTTTTCTTTATCTGCCCCTAGAAACTTCCCTAAGCAGCCAATTCTAAACATTTTGGCCACTGGCACCTTTTTTTTTTTTTATAGCACCTGCCCTTTCATACATACGTGTTTTCAGCCAGATAAAACTAAGATTTTTTCCAGATAAAAATTTTGTCCCCTCCCAAAGTGCTCAGCCCAGTGGTTGAAACATAGTAAACACTCAACTATTTGCTAAATGTCTGATGCCCTTTATCTTTTCTTTTTCAGTGGCACCACCACCCTATAGTTATGACCACGAGATGGAATACTGTGCCGACTTGCCACCTCCCTACTCTCCGACCCCACAGGCTTCAGCGCAACGTTCTCCACCCCCGCCTTATCCTGGAAATTCAAGGAAACAGTCCTTCTCCCAGAACAGAATATGTGCCAATCAGAGATCTTGCTTAGAATAAAATGGCTCTACTCAGGAAAAGAAAAGGCTTGCTCTAAGGAATACATTTTGGAGTAAAACAATATGTCAAGCGGAATGTCCAGGCTAAGAAACACTGAGTTTTTACCCTTCTCTGAAATGACTTCTTCTGAAGTACTGTTCGATTTGATGGTATCACATGTGAGGTATCACATTTGAAGAGATGTACTGGTCAATGTAAGCACATTCAGAGAAGAGTAACAAGATAGACGAAGCATCTGAAACTCATGTTGCTTAAGGAAATTGCAGTACTGATCCTGGAAAAGAGAAGAATTAGGAAAGACAGGACAACAGCCTGGACTACATAAGGAAACAACTATATTCTGCATAGCTTTAAAAGTCAGAACTAGAATTATTCATTATTTCATGCATCAATAAATACTATTCAAGTGTATGAGACCCCACTCTGTGCCTTCCACTGTTTGAAGCACTGGATGGAAGCTACAGGATCTTTGCTTTCTGGATAAGAACAAAGAACTTTGGTTTCAGTTTAAGAAAGAGGAGTTGGAGCTTCCTTATTGACTAGATTGCTTTGTGAAGTTCCCTATTACCAAGACTTCAGACAGAATCTCTATCTGATAGAGACATGCTCTAGAAAGGACAGGTAAATCAAATGGTAGATGGATCTACTGGGCCCCAAACATTCTGTTCATGTCTTAGGTAAGTGTGCAGTAAGTCTCTATGCCTCCAAGAATGAAAAAAAACTGAAATAGTTGAATCTTATCTATTTACTTTGACAGCTAAAATGGGATCAAAGGGACTCAACAGCTGCTTGAAGCCAAGTGCTATCTACTGCTACCTAAAAATCATGTGACTTTAAGTAGTGTTTTATTCTGACAAAGGTTATTCCAACTGTGGGTGGAAACTGTATTGAGCTCCACCAGCAACAAATACTTCACTTCAGGTTAAGAGATTAGAAGCCAAATATTCCCATGGGATTTTACATCAAAGAGTCAAACTGTAGAACTTGACCATAAAGATATACAACAATTTACAAGAAGAAGAGAGGAAAATAAAATTTGGATTCTGTTCTGAAATCCATTCATATGTAGCTGAGACAAATTTGTTTCCCTCTTCTTTTGTAATATTTTGAAAATCCATTCCCTTGAAAAAGTTATGCAGTTAATAGAAAGGTTAAGCTAGTGACATCAAACTGTTGTCTTTTGCCAAAATCCAAATGTTATGAAGTGCCTGCCTTCAATTATAAATGTTTGTACTACATAATTCTAATGTGGCACATTTTTGCTGCAAGGGACCTTAGCATTTATATTTTTATGTGGGTCCTTTTATGTTTTTAAAATTTACATTGACACAATACTGGGTGAGAGTGATGTCCCCAAGATGGTGACATACATCATTCCTAAATTTGCTCCCCCTCACAAGAACAACAACCAACAACTATCCAAAACAAGACACCACTGAGAGAATCCTAGAACATGGGAGTGAGGCTGAAGCACCCCCCTGAACTTCAGAGACCAAGACAGACTGTGGTAGAGGAGTGAGAGAAGTGGCTACATGTTGACTGCATTGCCCCTCCCCCAGGACACTGCTGCACCACGGGAAGAGGTGTCTCCTGAGCCTCCAGGTCCTCCAGTGGAAAAGAGAACCCAGGGGGGACAACGAGCCCCTCCCCCCCAGTATGGTCGGTCACTCTGTGGCAACCCCTACTCTGATCTCATGCTACTGGAATCACAGGGCTCAGCCACTGGAAATATAACTGTGACGGAGAATGAGGGAGAAGCTTGCAACAACCAGTGCATGGATGTCGGCTGACCGACGTCATACTGGCAGTGCCCAAACTGTAATCTCAACCAGGGGCTTTGATCATCTGTAGAACCAAGTTGGGAGCACACTCTGACCAGGGAACTCTGAAGGGGTCAGATCTGCCTTATTCACATCCTCCGTCAAGAAGTTTGCCAGCCCCCTAGCCCAGTTTGCTCACACCCAGGAAGGGCATTGACTCACAGCCTTACCAACTACGGAGAGTGATTTCAGCCCCATCTGACCAGAAGAGCTAGAGACAACTCCTGGAAGCTGCGTGGCCCAGTGGCAACTTGAGCTGAAAGAACAGGCAGAGGTGATAGTTTGCAGAGCCAGTGGCCTCATTTGGCCAGGGAACCTGTGGTGTGGGTCTGCTTGAGTTAAGGCAACAAAGAGCTTCACCGGTGTTAGAGCTGCCCTTCTTCTTGCATTCAGGCGGGGAATCTTATTCATAGCCTTGCTTATTGCTGAATACAGCCCGCAGCCTATCTGAGCAGGGAACTTAACCAGAGCACACAGGAAGCTGCATAGCCCATCTAACAGCCCCACACACCATGGCACTTGAACAGAGAGCAGAGCCCTTGGTTTTCTCCATCTGCAGAGCATCACCTGACTAGGGAAGTCAGTGGACACTCAGGCCTGATTTGTGCCCCCAAACAATGATTTGTATGGGCCCTGAGCCCTGGCTACTGCCCTGCCAGAGCAGGGAAGGAGGTAAAATAGCTCCATCTACTACTGAATATAAACCCGGTCCCAAACATCTAGTAAGTCTAAGCAGAGTATAAGACAGACCCCATCCTATAGATTAACTTGGATAGGGAACCAGCCAGCAATCATATCCAAGTATTTTCAGCCAGTGGCAAACACACTCCATCCCTCTCCTCAGTTCATGAATAGATGCCTTGCCCAAAGAAGTCCATAATAGCCCAGAGAAGCCCACCTGCCCAAAGGCATACCAACAGACACACCCAGAGACCCAAAATGAACTGACTACTGAAAAGCTATCTCTGCCAAAGCAAACCTGTAAAGTCTGGAAGAGGAGGTTAATTACTCAAATGCTCAGGGGCACCTGGGTGGCTCAGGCAGTTAAGCATCCTACTTCAGGTCATGATCTTGCAGTTTGTGGGTTCAAGCCCTGCATCAGGCTCTGTGTTGACAGCTCAGCACCTGGAGCCTGCTTCAGATTCTGTGTCTCCCTCTCTCTCTGCCCCTCCTCCACCCACACTCTCTGTCTCTCCCTCTCTTTCAAAAATAAACATTTAAAAAAAATTACTCAAATGCTCAGATACCTACGCAAGAAATCAAGGATCATGAACAATCAGGTAAATATGACACTACCAAAGGAAACTAATTAAGCCCCAATGACTGACCCTAAAGAAATGAAAATCTATAAACTATCAGACAAAAAATTCAGAATAATTCCCTTAAAGAAGTTTAGTGAACTATGAGGAAGCAGAGACAGACAATTAAACAAAATTAGGAAAACAATGCAGGAACAAAAGGAATTTCACAAGGAAATAGCAACCATCAAAAAAACAAAACCAAAATCAAAAACAGAAATCCTGCAGTTAAAAGATACAATAACTGAACTGAAGAATTCAATAGAGAGTTTCAAAAGTAAACTTAAAAATGCAGAAAAACAAATCAGCAACCCAAAGGAAAGGACATTGGAAATTACCCAGTCAAAGGGAAAAAACAATTTTTAAACAGCAAAGAAAACCCTATGGAAATTAAAGGACAATGAAAAGCAACAATATGTGCATCATAAGAATGCCAAAAAGAGAAACAGAAAAAAGGGACAGAGAGTCTATTTAGAGCAATAATGGCTGAAAACTTACTGAACCTGGGGTAATAAATGGATCTCTAGATCTATGTTGGTCCAAAGGATCCCAAATAGGTTGAACCTAAGGATATGGGGCTACTCTAAGAGACATTACAATTATATTATCAAAGTCAAAGACAAATTAACAAAAACAAAACCCATTTAATATAACTGGGGAAAAGAAACTTACATACAAGGAATCCCCACCTCCACCCCCACCCCGCCAATAAAACTATTGGTGAATTCCTCAACAGAAATTCTTCAGGCCAGGAGAAAATGGGATGACATACAAAATACTGAAAGAAAATAACTGTTAACCAAACTTCAATACCCAGAAAAGCTGTCATTCAAAAATGAAGGAGGGATAAATATTGTCCTGAACAAACAAAAGCTGAGAGAGTTCACTACAATGCTAAAAGGAACTCCCTTTATAATTAATATCATCAAATCACAAAAAGGTTCCATAAATCTCACTGACAATGGCAAATATATAGTTATAATTGTATTATGCAATATGGTAATAGTGATACATCATTCAAAACTTTAGTTTAAAATTTTTTAAAGGAATGTAGCAAAAATAACCACAAATACAGTAACCTGTTATTTGCACCATATATAAAACATGTTATAACTGCAATAATCTAAAATGTGAGAGGCAGAAATAAAAGTGTGAAGTATAAAAATTATATTTAAGTTATTAATAGGTTTAATATAGGTTTAAAATAGGGTATTATAAGTTTAAGATATATTATGAATGCCTCATGGTAACCACAGGGAAAATGTTGTAGTAATCACACAAGAGAACACAATAAATAAATCAAACCATATTGATACCAAAAAAAATCAAAATACACACACAAAAAAGATAGTAAAATAAGAAACAAGAAACAATGGATCTACAAAAGAATGAGAAAAAAATTAGAAAAATTGCAATAGTAAGCCCTTACCTACAAACAATTTCATTAAATGTAAATGGATTATATTCTTCAATCAAAAGACAGAATGGCTGAATGGATAAAAAAAATTCAACAATATCAGCCAAAAAAACCCCCTCAATTTATTCTTAAATAAAAATTTTTTAAAGAGGCAAGGATATTTATACTTATATCAGACAAAATAAACTTTAAAAATAGTAAAAAGAGTCAAAGAGGTTATTATGTGATAATAGAAGAATCAGTACATCAAGAAGATACAACAATTGTAAATATTTAGGTGCCCAAGATAGAAAAGCTAAAACTAGGGGTGTCTGGGTGGCTCAGTCAGTTAAGTGTCCGACTTCAGCCCAGATCATGATCTCACAGTCCGTGGGTTCGAGCCCCGTGTCTGGCTCTGTGCTGACAGCTCAGAGCCTGGAGCCTGCTTCAGATTCTGTGTCTCCCTCTCTCTGCCCTTTCCCCACTCGCTCTCTGTCTCTGTCTCTCAAAATAAAAATAAAGACATAATTTTTTTTTTTAAAAAAGCAAAAACTAACAGAATTAAAAGGTGAAATAAATAGTAATGCAATAATAGTTGGGAACTTTAATACCCCACTCTCAATAATAGATAGATCATCCAGATAGGAAATCAATAAGGAAACAGTGGAATTGAACAACACTATAGATCAAATAGACCTAGCAGACATATACAGAACACTCTGTTCAACAACAGCAGAATACACATTCTTCTCAAGAGCACCTAGAACATTTTCTAGAACTGACCATATGTTAGGCCACAAAACGGGTCAGCAAATTCAGGAAGGCTGAACTCATTCCAGTAGTGTGAATCTAGAAATCAGTAATGAGAGGAAAAGTGGAAAATTCACCAACACATAGAAATGAACACTTTCCTGAGCATCCAGTGGGTCAAAGAAGAAATTAGAGGAAAATTAAAAGTTTATTGAGGCAAATGAAAATGGAAACACAATACAGCAGAACTTATATGATGCAGCAAAAACAGTTCAAAGAGAGGAGTTCATAGCAATAAATGCCTACATTAAGAAGTAAGAAAGTTCCGAAATAAACAACCTAACTCTATGCCTTAAGGAACTAGACAAAGAAGAAAAAATTGAGCCCAAAGTTAGTGGAAGAAAGGAAATAAGATTAGCACAGAAATAGAGAATAGAAAAACAATAGAAAAAAACAGACTAAGAAGTGCTTCTTTGAAAAGGTAGAATTGACAAAACCTAGAAAGACCAACCAAGGAAAAAACCCAAATCAACAAAATTATAAATAGGAAAAGACAGCTATTACCACAGAAATTCAAAGAACATAAGAGACTGTTAGAACGTAAATTAGTGCAGCCGCTATGGAAAATAATATGGAGGAATCTTTAAAAAGTAAAAATAGAATTACCAAATGATCCAGCAATTCTACTCCTAAGAACATATCCAAAGATAATGAAAACACTACCTCAAAAAGATATCTTGTACCCTCATGTTCATAACAGCATTATTTACGATAGCTGAGACATGTAAACAACCTAAGTGTCCATCAAAAGATGAATGGATAAGGAAGGTGTGGTGGTGGTGGTGGTGGTGGTGTGTGTGTGTGTGTGTGTGTGTGTGTGTATACACAATGGAATATAATTCTGCCATTAAAAAATGAAGAAATTCTACTATTTGGGACAACGATAGACTCTAAAAGTAATATGCTAAGTGAAATAAGACAAAAATAGACAAACCCTGTATGATCTCACTTATATGTGGAATCTTAAAGAAAACAGTAACAGCTCCTAGATAAAAAAGCTCGGACTTAACGGTTTCCAGAGGTGGGAGGTGGGGGGAGGAGGAGGGATAAGAGGAAGGTGGCCAAAAGTTGTAAACTTCCAGTTTAAGATAAATAAGCACTAGGGATGTATTGTACAACATGATGACTAGAGCTAACACTGCTGTATGGTATATAGGAAAGACGTTAAGAGAGTAAATCCCAAGAGTTGTCGTTGTGAGAAGACAATTTTTTCTTTTATTCTTCTTTACTTTCATTTTATTGTATCTATATGAGAAGATGGATGTTAGGTTAACCTATTGTGGTAATCATTTTACAATATATGTAAATCAAACCATCATGCTGTGTGCCTTAAACTCACACAGTGATGCATGTGAGTTATTTCTCAATAAAACTGAACAAAAACAAAACTGTATCACTTCTATTCACTGAAAGAACACTGTGATGATCACAACTTGCTAGCAGTTGATTAGAAAGATCTTTATTACAAGTCTGCTGAAACACAGCACGGCATGCCTGAAAGAATTCTGGGAGCAGATGATCAAATTTTTATGTCACTTGGCAATTAAATTTAAAAGTTTAATCCAACGTCATTATCATAATTCGGTGAAATCCCAAAATGACGCTAAGAATTTTGCTGAATAAAATAATCGAAAGAAATGTCTTAAGGTATAAAATTATAGTTCCTGTCCTTGTAGTTGGGAAACTTAGTAATTGATATATGTAGCATATTTTTCTTTCAAACACATTGATCTGACTGAAATGCACTCCGTCAGTGAGATCGAAAAGCTGGATTTGTTTTGAATGAACTTGCTTGAGTTTTAGGCACTGATTACTTTCTGGTTTATAAGCCACACAAAGGACACAAAGCATTCAAGAGCTCCAGCCTATTCTAGTGACTGAGATTTTAGCACAGTTTTAACAGTACATATGCTTTGTCTCCGGTAAGTGGGATCACATCCAATTGCACTGCAGCTATCCAACTCAGCACTGGGGTCTCTGATGTTCACAGTGTTGGCTGCAAATGAACCCTAAGTTCCTTAAATAAAATGGAGAGGAAAAGACCAGCGGAAATTGAATTCTCATCATCTTCGCTGTCAATAAACATTTATGGCACACCTTGTACGTTCTGCAAACATTACCCACATAGGGGCCATTTCAGTCCACACCGTATCTCTTCTTTGAGTTGTTTTATGGCTGCCCGTAAGGCTCAGCACAGGCCCAAAGACCTACAGCCAATGACTATTTTTACTATTTGTAGTTAGTGTCACAAGAGCCTAAACGTGAACATTATCAGTATGGACTTTTGAAGTTCACTGATATTTTCATAGATGATACATCTTGAAGGAAAATAGCATACACTGTGAAAGCTTTGAATCATGGGTGTTCAAAAACTAATGTGTGTGCTGTGGCCACTGTTTACAAGAAGCAATAAAGTGAAATGACTCATTATGCCAAGGGTTATATTTGAACTGTCTTGTGTCCATTTTGTTTCACCCTCCATTTCTCTGACTTAGCCTCATTCTTTTGTGCAGAAACACAGGACTGAAGCCAGATAGACTTTATATTGAATCCTGTCTCCTGCCTGTATTATTGGAGAGA